AATGTGGAGTGACACTACAAAGCGGGCGTCAAACAAAGAGTAGGCGGCACACTGAGCACGCGCCACTTGATGCTCGCTAACGAGGCATGCTAAATAATGCTAAAACAATACCAAATGTACGTTACCATCATGGTAATTGCACACGGATTGTTTGTTTTTATACTCCATTCTTTTAAGCTTTTTATTCTAATGAAAAAAATACTCGTCACTTTCGTTTTATATTTATTATGACGAATAAATAATAGAGACGGAATGTTTGTTGAAGTTTTTTAACCGATGTGTTGTGAAAATCTTTAGGTATATGTTAGTGATAAATATTACCATATAATAACTTCTTACGAAATTCGATATGCTTAATAGCAATAAATGTTTGCACGAACAGTCGAACAAAATAAATTTAGTTGATAAATCCAAAATCTTATTCATTACTAGCTTTCCGCCCGCAGCTTCGCCCGCGTGGAGTTCGGTTATATCGCGTTTCCAAGAGAACCTTTCGAAAGTCTGGGATAAAAACTATCCTATGTTCTTTCTCAGAGCAACTCTATATATGTACCAAATTTTATTAAAATCAGTTCAGTGGTTTAGGCGTGAAAGCGTAACAGACAGACAGACAGAGTTACTTTCGCATTTATAATATTATAGGGATCTACATGCAGAATACCCTTACGGCGCGGCGTCACTTAACAGATACTTCGTATGAATATACCTAATAACCTATTTATTTATAAACAATCGCTGGCATTGTTCCTGACAATACAATACAGAGGTTAAGGACATGGTTTTACCGATTGATGATTTGCACAGCTTAGTCACGTAGTGCGTAACGTTTTCGCATATAGTAAAGTTAACAGTTTGTCACACTCAATGGATCGATTCACTTTAATTATCACCTATTAGTAATATAAAATTAATTACTGAGCAATGTCACGGTGCTAACATCAAATGGAATACAAACAATCTGTGGACACGACAATACGACGGCAATTAAGCGCCGGCGCAGCACATTTAAGCCTAATGCGTCTATTAACAAATGTATTTGCCGTGTTCGAGAGCGATCGTAAATTTTGTGAACAACTGGAGCAGTTGGTCCGCGTCGCCATCACATATATATCATTCCACTTTAAAATAAAGTCTGTTAAATGTGACATGATAAAATGTGACGCGATATAAGTCTCGTCATCAAATTCTTCAACAACTGTTCCTTTACAGTTTATTTATATATCTTTATTTTATACTTATAATAAAATAAGCCATAATATTACAAATTTAGTGTATGTTACTATGTCATTAGAATTTTTACCACAAAATCTGTGACGTTATGCAAACGTTTTTGAATAGAGTTTTATTTCTTTAATGAATAAGTAAAATATTTTTCAATTAATAAAAGATACATAAATATCATTAAACCATGTATTCCAATCTGATACGCAATCCTAATTAATTTATAGATTTCATTTTAAGGCCTATTTTCCTGTTATACTTTCTGGAATAGTATTAAATTTTAATATAATTTAATATATATCCTAAAACAACTTTGAGAAGATAGATTTATGTTAAGAAAAAAAGTACCTTCAGAGTTCAGACGTCATCTGTCCCCAGAAGTAATTTATCTACCGTCAGGCCGGCACACGAGCACGCCACCCGCGCGACGTACGCGTGCCCTTTCCTCGGCCTAATAACTTAACCCCCTTTTGTTTTTCTATACAAAGCTCACAATTTATTTATGAGATCCACTAAATGATTATGTACCGGCACGCTCCTCAGACTTATTCTGACAACTTCAAGATAATCAGTACAGTATGATATCTTTATAGTTTAAAAATTAAAAGGGACCAATTTATTTGATGTTTTAGATCTATAAACAGAATATTAAACTAAAAATTATTATTAAATATATTCCTAAAACTAACACATTGTTGCACAACATTCGCTATTGTTATTATCAAATGTAAATAGTAAAGTGTTTGATTTAATTTTATATCGACCCCATTGCAATGAGATGCTTCATATTGTTTTCGAGAGGTCCTTATTGAAATCGTAAAAATATGCCGTTCACGTCCCATACGAGTGTCATATTGCTTGTCATTTAAATATTCAATACAAAACAGGGTGACACTCAGTGTAGGACCGTTGTCAATTGTTTAAGATACATTTTGAAATGCTTTGTATGGGCGTACATGTGACTGGTTAAAATTTTGCATGTTTTAGACGTTAACTTTTAAAACATACAGTTATGAGGAAACAGCTACAAGGGAATATTTTCTTCTTATAGTTCTTCCAGTATACGACCTGGGTTTAACATCAGTCATGTTCACAGTTCTGGGCTTAATCAAGTGAATCTCTTATTCTTCACAGTTTTTTCTATAAAACCAATAGGCTGACCCAATTGATATATCGACTAGTTACTGTAGAGATAATGATTCCGTATGATGAAACTTGCAGGAAAAGCAATTCGATGATACTTTCATCTCTTTAGATCACCGGCTCTTAGATATTAAGTATTTAGTTAACCAAATTTTAATATTATTGAATTTTTTTTACGAACCGCACCGTAATGAAAATGTACAAAATTTTAAACATAAATTTAAGGGTGTAAATCCGTATAACATATCTGTAGATTCAACCACCTCAAAACGGTATAGTTGATTTTTTCTTAATTGTAGCAATAAATATCAATAAAATCTCTGATATCAAAGTGATATAAACTGCTCTTTCAGAGATAAATTAGTGCAAGCAGATAGAAAAAAAAAAACAATTTCCAATTAATATTAAGATTAAAAAAATTGTTTCAAAAAAATTTCCTTGAAATGCTCACGATCGGTTGAAGCGACATTTATATGAAGATTTCATAAAATAACACTTTGAATGAATTGTTGATTTTTATTATTTTCTACTGATTTACGTAAAATAAAACGAGTATTGGTACCTAATAATATGCGGGTTCCGTAATAATGAATCTCTGCGGTCTGAAGTGGAATTCAACAGAGTTTCTTATATTTTGTGGTCGTTTTAAAAGACTTACATTTCTAAAGCGAATGAGATAATAAATCATAAAAGCCATCAGCACATTTTTAATGCAATCGGCTTACTTTTACCATAATACTAAGTTACAGTCTTAAATCCCCGTCTGTAAGAAAAAATGGCGATAGTTTTTCATAGCGTAAGTTATTGTTGTTTTTTAAATAGGTATACCTTAATGTTTTTTTTTATATATTTGGCTTATTTTATTCGAGTTATATTATAAAAATAACATTATATGAGAAATATCTTACTTTCATTGGACTAAATATGATATTAAAATGAACTGATTGTAATTTAACGCCAAATGCGTCGTCCACGAAGCGTAACACTTAAGATGGTATATGAAACCACATATTTTCTAGTTCAACTAATTCTGGGTATTTATGGAGTATGTAATGCTTATAAAATGGCTTACATATAGTATATATTTAGAAGTAATTCAATTATTTGTTTGATGTTTTATAGTACATTGCATAAATTTATTATGTACACTTTAAAATAAAATAAAGGCTAGAAAGATACAGATACATGTAACATACAAATTTTATTAAGTATCTATATGTATTTTCTATATTGATTTACTTAAAGTTGATAAGTTGTATAGATAATTTAATTATCCTTATTTTTTTGAAGATAGGTCTTAAAACATTTTTTTTAATAAAGTAATTAAAATAATAGATTAATTAAAAGTTAAATGTAGTAAATTAAAATTTAACACAAATGCTTGTACATAAAATATTGTTGGTATTTCAAAAAATACATATACCTATAAGAACATTTATTTTAATTGTGTGAGCTTATTCCACTACTATAACCATGTGTTGCTCTGTAAAAAGTTTTTTCTTAATTTACGGTATACAAAATTATAATAAAATAGTAGCATTTTAACCTGTACAACTTAAAACGAATTTCGCAACATGAATTCTTACGTCAGTGTTTATGAGTTCAAATTCTTTAATCTTCTTTAACTTAAAATAACTTTTTAATAAAACTTAAACACAGAAGATTACATATATAGTGGCGCCATCTTTAAAAACACTTCCACAACTTGACTCATTAAAAATCTCTTTAGTTATTCCTTACAGATTTTTTTTTCCATTATAACTTTATGATGAGCTGCTACTAACTAGGGTAAATGTGGGATAGTTGCCACACTTTTTGAAATAGGCAAATAAGTGATAGAATATGAGTTTTCATAAAAATTTAATGATTTGTGATGTGTTGTGTACTTATTAATGAAATACTTAATTAAAGTAATTTAACATTAGTAGTTGTATTTTTTTTGGTACAAAAGAAATAAAAAAGTATTATAATCGGGGATAGATGCCTAAAGTGTGGGTTAGATGCCATAATGATGATTTCGCTTGTGGGATAGATGCCCTATGCAAATAATTAAAGATTATCTTAGATTTATTTATTTTTAATCAACAACTGTTACATTTTCATTTATAAGCATAATCATCTTTGGTTTAATATGAAATTGAGATCAATTTTAGTATCTAATAATACAATATTAGTATAAACATTGAAAGTGGCAACTTCTGATACGTTTTAAATTTTAAATTTTTTCATTTTTTTCAAGGCGCAATTTTAATCGATTGCAAGGATTACAGTAATTTCCGTACATGGTACAAGTTTCATGCAACCATTTTTTTACACATGATGCACTGGATCCAGTCTGCCGTTGATTTTGTTTCCTCATAATTTTCAAAACATTCCAGACATTCATTTGACGAATTTTCATTAGAGTCCGACTCAGAAGAAGCGATTGCCTTTCGTTCACTGGCGTTTCTGGTTATCCGTTGCTTTTTCTCAACAGCACGAATGGGACGTTGAATCACATTAACACTTGAAGTTTCATTTATTTTTAATTTCTTAGCTCTCTTTACATTTTTTCTGTTTTACGTCAACATGAGATTCATTTTCTTTGAAAGATTCATCAGAATCATTTGTACCAGATGAATCTGTCTCTTCGGAAGCTACTCTTGGCCTTTTTTTGTTATCTTCCTGGCAGGAATTCCATAACGACGAGATATTTCATTCAAGCCGTGCTTATTCTGCCTCATTTCTTCAAAAGCTTCTCTTAGGGCATCTTCCGTCCATCCAGCTCGAGGCTTGCCCCTACTTTGCGCACGTACTTGCGAGGCATTATCTACAATACCTATAAAAATCGATAAAAGTTTAATAGGGGATAGATGCCTCTAAGGGCATCTATACTCACAAAAAACTAGGCATCTATCCTTTTTCGGGGGGGATAGACGCCGCTCAAAATATTTATTTACTTTAATGATAAAACATACGTAAATAATAAACAAAATCTTTTTATTTAACACATCTACACTTAAATAAAACAAAAATATAAACCACTTACCTCATAAAATCAAAAGTTTCGAGCCCATCAAAATTTCAGACAAACCAAATTCACGAATTAACTGCCGCAAAAAATGTTCGTTGTCTCATAACTCTCGACACGTCCGTTCCAGCTAAGTGCGTGGCACTGACCGAAGGACGGGCGGGGGGTAGGGTTACGTTTAAAAACAAAACACAACGGATCTAATGTTTATACATGTCGCTACGTGTTTACTGAGGCAACTATCCCACTGAGGCATCTATCCCACATTTACTGTACTTGGTAAGTGCTAAAACAATTTTCACTCAGCTATAAACAGAAGATCATTTTAATAAGTCTAACGACTTTTGTAACTTAATTTCAAATTTAACTTACTTACAAATAAGAAAATACCTTTAAATATAAGCCAAAATAAAATTATATGTATTGTAAGAGAAATATTGTTACCTAAAATTAATAAAGTTTAGTTTGTAAATAGCTAGTTTGTAACCTTATTTTTAAATACTTAAAAAGAATTACATATGTTTAGATAAATTTTTTATACAACTGTGATCAAATACCGATTTTAAGAACATACTTGGTTATTGTTAAAGGCCTGTTTAGTTTATGTTTGTTCCGTGTTTTTGTTTTAAAAGTAATTTGCGCATAAATATATTTTTTTAATAAATACGCATTTTTTTATAATTCGTATGATGGAATTATAGAAAAGAACATAGTTTTATGGTATTGCAAGCCTCAATATTGACGTTGTATAGTCTAGACATAAAATTTAATATGATTTTATTTCGGATATTTGCGTGTTTTTTCTAAATTTGTTTAAGGTATTAAGATCCAAATGTGCTTGAAATATAGTATTTGTTATGTAAACAATGAATTATAGATAATGCTACTCACTTTTAGTAGTATATATGATATGATTCTACAGGATATTCAATTAAGATTCATAATTTTAGAGTGAACTTGATATGCGAGCTTGTCAAGTTAACTAACAATTCAATAATAGGCCTTAATACTTTATCTGTTTATAAAAGGCCAGTAGAAACACAAACGAGCATAGCCAGGAATAGTTTATTTTTTTTCCAAAAAAGGCCTGAAGGAAGTTTTTGAAAAATCTATTGTTAAAAAAATGTACCGAAACCATTACATAATTTAATATCAATAAATCATATTGTTAAGTTCCTAATAAGAGATGTATGTAAAGCACTATAGTAATATAAGAATCACGAAAACTTTAAAATCGCCAAAATTATTGATGTAAGTATATCAAAAATTACAGTCTTTCTAAAACTTATTCCTGAAGACAGACATTTGTTTAATGGTTTGGTTTTGATAATTTAAAATTTTTACCTCTCGAGTCTATGATAAGATTTTAATTATTTTTATATGAACCAAACGACTTAGACAAAACCTCTCAGCATTCCATGGATTCACCATGCGGATGGCGGGTCCATCGCGTTGCATAGAGAAGAGCTTAACAGTGCCTGGGACTTGCGACCCAGGTGTAGCTTTAAGGGGCCCCTTACCTAACGCGCGTTATACGCTCACCTCCACCGTCCAAGCTCTTTCTCTCTACCTAACCAAATTTGAAAAGAATCTACTAGGACTGCATTCGAAGTACGCTCAAAGAATGTATTAATGTGAGTTCTGGACAAGCCCAAGTCTTTTAGCAGGTCGTAGAGAAGATTTTGTTATACCTCTCACTCTCACTTCTACCGAGTACAAATTTTTTGTGCTTTTCTTGTTTTTTGATTTTTTTGTATTTAAGTGATATAAGTTTTGATTGAAAAATTTGGATAAAACGTTTATCTGTTTTGGGTCTAAAATTATACAGATCACGTTTTTGGCCCGCCTTTTTGTACTTTGGCGGCAAATTTTTTTTACTTTTGTTTTCTGTCCATTTAATTAATTTCGTAAATCGTAATTATAGCTTTTTACTTATTTCAATTGAATGACTTTCTTGTCTTAGTTGGTATTCCACTAATTTTTGAATATCAGTTTGTTTAGTTTCTAAATTAAATTCATAATTTCTATTGTAGTACGTAAATGACTTTAAAATAATCCTTTTTTTTAACGATATTCTCCACTTTATTTCTGAATTGTTGACCCTGTCGCCTAATACTCAACTGATATTCTTATGCATTTTTTTTTTTAACTTCTTTCAAGACTTTTATTCAAGGATCGAGATTTATATAATTTAAAAAATCTTTTGTAAATAATAATAGGTAGATATATATTCATTTGTGTTTTCTTATGAAAGAAACAATTTGTAATTTATAATTAATATTAATGTTGTTATTATACAAATAAATTTAAAATTTTCATACTAAAATAATCACAAGTAACTACTTTGTAACTACAAATAGATTTGAGCATTTTAAACCCAAGTCCGAAAAGTCAAATATATGACCGGAAACAGTTCCTGATATCCATGATTTATTTCAAGTGTCATTGTTATTATTTGCTTATTGAACTGTTCATCATTAATACATAGTTCTTTTAATAAAAAATTTTTTTCTCGTACAAATCCAAATTGTTGATCCAAATTTGCTTTTACAAACTGCCAACAATAAAGTGTAAGATAACATATTTAAAATTTACACTTTAATATTTTAAAACAAAGTTTGTGAACGTCGTTACAATGTAAGAAAAAACCTAGTTTAAAGTAACTTTTAATACGATTCCCGCAGGAGATAAAAGATATTGTTTTAAAAAATACCGAAGTGCGTGGAAAAAAATGATGTTTGTGTCGAACGGTAGTTATTTCAAATTGCCTTTTTAATTGTGTAATATTTTGAAAACATTTGCAATATCTCAACCCGTTTTCTCACATATCGCACTGCAAAAAACCTGGCTATCATTCAATGAAAATATAAAAATACGGTTATGGAGTTAAAAGAAAGATAAACGTAAGTAAGACAAATTTTAATTCATCTAGAATATTTTAAAATAACATGCAGAATGTTCAGGAACCTATATGTTACTGTACAAGCTCGAATTGCGGCAATCTATCTAAGATTTCTACCTGCAGGTTAAATCAAGCATATACTTAATTCGAATAAATAAAGCCAGAGGAAATGGTCTTATCCGTAATCCTAACTTGTAGGTAACACTTAAATCTTAAGATTTTACTGCAGTTCCAGTTTTTTCCATTTACATCTATATAGGTAATCAAGCGTATATTCAAAACATATTTTTAATATGTTTAAGAATTTTTGAGCAGAAATGAAAAGCTTTTACAATTTTCTTCTTCTAACCATTATAGTTACATAAGGTTGTGAGAGCTGTGACGGCAAAATTAAATAAATTATAGTGGAAATTTTTATTTGATAAATACTTGAACAAACCACATTTCAAAAAACAAATTTCGTTTTCTACCTTTGTATCTATTCTTTTTAAGATTGGTCCGTCGTCATCATCAGCCTATCAGAGCCCACTGCTGAGCAAAGGCCTCTTTCTCATATGGAGAAGGTTTGAGCATTAATCACCACGCTTGCTCAAGACGGGTTGGTGATTTCAAGCTTACAATAGTGAAACTATAAGTCCAGGTTTCCTCACGATGTTTTCCTTCACCGTATGTCAGTTGTGGTCTAAATACTCTCAAAAAGTACATATGACTCCGGAAAATCTCCATGGTACTTGCCGGGTTTGAACTCGCGTCCCTCGGCAAACGAGAGGCGGGCCCTTTAACCACTAGGCCACCACTGACTTAAGATTGGTATGGTATGGTAAATTGTAAATAAGATTTTTCTTATAACAATGTGAAGGAACATCGTATATTAACCTGATATACCTATAAAAATATATAAATATATTTTATAAGAGTTGATGTGAACAACAGAAACGATTGGAGCGAAGGATGCGGTCGCGGTCGCGAACAGGAAACCGCAAACTATCCACCTAAATAACTTTTCTGTGCCAGAACACCAGGCCGTCGATTTTAATTCTGCTATATGTATATCTGAATCAAGAATACGTTCATAAAACTAAAATTGGACACGTTTTTATGTCATCACATAACAGCAACAAGACTATTACAGAAAATAGATCTTGAACAGCCTGGACTCGTAATGAATAATGAAAAGCGTAATTTACTAGATGAGTTATTATAGAAATTTTAGCTATCATCATAAATTAACAGAAGGTGTAATCCGAGTTATTATTTATTGTAATACTGTAATTCACATTCTAAGTTTATATTGACAATAAATAAGCATACATGTTTAAAAAGGACATTCTTTGCTAGCTATAACAAAGGAAACATCAAGGATTTGTTTCTATTTCGATTCTATGACTACTTTTAGCCATGTAGCTCTATAGTTTAACGCTCGATCTATCTCTGCGGGCTTTTACCCATTCATGTTATTTTAAACATAAGATATACAGTGATACTTGGAGAAGTGATAGTTCAAGGCACCGCGATCGCTTCTTTTCTTATAAAGGTGTCTTTTACCTCTGTAACAGAAGAGTGTGAGAGTGACAGAAGAGGCCTGTCCTGATTTATAGAGGACTATTAAATTACGATAGTATATATTTATATATATTACTTTTAATTTTTGGAGTAATATAACTATATAGTACATAACCTAAATGTATGTGTGCGTATTTACTAGCTCTTGTCAACGACTCCTGCGTCGATTATCCGAGTTGTTCTCAGCTACCTAATATAGTGTTTGCGTAAATGTTTAATTTGGTATAGAATGAATAAATTGTATAGTTCAAGGTTATACAAAGGTTCACTTTCTAATTCACTTTTAGAGTGTTAAGTAAACGTAAAAGTAGCGTCCAGTAAAAAAATAACACTACGCACACTG